TTCCATATCATTGAACATGAGCTTATCATTGGTCTACAGTCCACAGCGAAGCTGACTTACAGTAGTTCACACTGGAAGAGTGATTGCATTCCATCTGCACTACTTTGTAGTTGTTTGCCTACGTTCACATGTTGACGGATGTCTAAGGCCATTACGTTTTGCTGTTTTTTAGTGTCCCACACAGTGTTTAAAACGCAGTGTCAAGTTAAAACAGTTCAACTTTTAAAGACATGTCTTAAGACCCCTTGAGCTGTGCTGACAGTGAAACCTTCCACAAATGAAAAAAAAAAATCCTTGTTGGGGAATTACAATTAAAAGTATGAATTTTTGTAAGTGCATATTTTTTATGTAATTAACTGCACTAAATTAACATTAACTTGACAGCCCTAGCACAGACAGGAGGTGCAATACAGGAAAACCCCTCAATATCAGAAGATCATTGCGTTATCCTGAGGACATTACACGAGTTAACTGGAATAACGAATCAGGTCGTGGAAATGCTGATAATCAGTCTAATCCTGGCTGTCCCAGTAAGCCAGTTAATAGCTTAGACCGTGCCCGCCACTTTATAGTGTTCCCTCAGGACCCAGAAACCTGCTCAGACCCCGTCCTGCCCAGTAAGCCAGCTAATAGCTTAGACCGTGCCCGCCACTTCATAGCGTTCCCTCAGGACCCAGGAACCTGCGCAGACCCTATCCTGCTATCATGCGGTGCTGGCTGTTCTGTTAGACAGAAACAGGAAGAGAGAGAATGAGAGAGAGAGAGAACGCTCCGTCACAGCTGCCAACTGTGTTTACAGCTGCACGGCATCAAACATTCATCAGATGCCATCTTTACAGTCTGTGATGTGAAGCAATCAGCATTTCACAGCCTGTCAAATGATGTCGAAACCGCTTGCTACCTGGCAGTGTCAAAAAGGGAAAAAAAAAATCTCAAACACACACACACACAAACACACGTCCAGGTTTTCCTTTCTAGTCCAGACTACTGACAGACGAAGCAAGCTCATATGTTAAAATATTAATTCTACTTAAATACTTAAATACACTCTAATGACAGCAAAGCTCCAAATCAGCTTTCAAGTGTAAATAATCTATTTTTTCCTCACCCTTCGATCCCTTTCATCTTTATTGAAAATGCTTGAAACTAGAGTTCAGAAGCAGCAAATTTGGCCAGTTAATGCCTGGATGGGTAATGCTCATTTAGCCTGTGGTGGAAACTTTTTGGAGTCTGTTTGCTCTGTGCAATGCGCTGTAAGAAATTACTTTGCTTAATGCTTACCATCAGAATTGTCATCGGCCTGCTCTCGACTAATACCTGTTCTTATCATCAGCCCCTGAAAGTGTGTGTGCACGCATGTTTCGACAGTGCTGTAGCTCCATCTACAGGCCAAAGTGAGACGTGCAGCAGAGAACTCTGTGTGACCCATCTGCAGTCTCCACTGATGTATGCCACATTCATCTTTCTCAAACTAAGTGCAAGCCACATCTAAAAAGTGGTATTTTATAAATATTTTATCTGTCATGGCCCTCCTTCTTACACTCCTTGTAGTTGTCTGACTTTAAAAGTGCTGTTTCTAGGCTCATTACTGTTGCATAAACAAGCAATAAAACTATGTATGTAAGCGGTCTGTCTGGTTACGACACGTACGACAGAGCACGGCTGCATGCTTTTGGGAGATATATCAAGAGTTCTTTGCAAATGCATATGAAGATACTCCTAATGAGACTGGTAAACTGTTTAAAAACAGTGCCTTGGGTGGACATGCATGAAAAATTTAAAGGAACATTTACAGGGGATTTATGCAAAAAGAAACGGGCGAACCACTGTTTTTATTTTCTTGTTTTAAACATAAACCTCACAACATTTTGAAGAAAAACAACTATGTTTTTGTAGATGTTTTATATTTAATTAAATGCAATTTTAAAATGTAAAATTAAAGATTACACTTTTAAGCTGTCCTTTTTACTGTGTGATCATACAATTAAGTTCTAAATAAAATGTACATCATTGTAACGTTTGGGTTAGGATTAGGTTTTAGTTTAGGGTTAGTTGCTTGTAATTGTGTATAATTGACTAGTATTAAAGTACATGTAACGTGTAACAAGCAAACTAAAATATTTATTTAAAAAATACATTTAATTATTTAAATCATGATATATTTATCTTAATCACTATATAATTATCTTATTGTCTTATTTCTTATAATTCTATATCTCATCCAAGACAAAAACACCTATGAAGCAAGTTATTTTTGCAGTGGCTTTTGTTTCTGGTTGCGATCTGACATTAGGTGATTCTGATCATCCTGTACAAAGACTTAAAATACAAAAGCCGTTCATAATTATAAAGGCCAAATCAATCAACTAGGGTCATTACAGGTGTACTTAAGTTAAACTTAACTTTATATGTTATGTTTCCCTCCTTCTGAGGTCCAATCAAAGTTTCTTTCCATAACAAAGAATAAACTATTATACAATATAGAAAAGTTGTGTGCATATATGCACACGCACAAAGCAGAGGATATTCAAACTAAAACATGCACCCACACACATATTTCCCACTCTCCACAGATGAAAGCTGTGTTTTGCGAGAGGGAGCGTGTATATGCGCTGTGCTGTGTGCAGGTCGGGGTGGTGACCTCTGGGATTTCCAGCACTGGGGTGGGAGTGTGTTCCGGGAACAGGCGCTGCCTGTGCAACCTACAGACCTGGACAAAGAAACCGCAGCACCGCAAATGCATTAGAAGTTGCGTAAAGTGTAAAAGCTAAAGGACAGAGACTCCACTGACTCTATGAATAATGTATTGTAATGTATTTTAAATATATGTTTGTAAAGTAAATAGTATCCTCTCTTCACTGGTTACTTTGTGTACTACATTCCAAGTATACAGGCCTACATTATAAATGAAACGGCTGACATGACTACGATGACATGGATTGGATGAGAAAACGTAGAGGAAAGCACGGTCTCCTCTAATTATGCTCTTTTTAGAGGCAAGCATCTGTCAATGTCTAACTCTGTTACCTTATTACCGCAGCCTACAGATATGCATACACCCATACAGCGAGAGAAAGACAGATATGTGTTTCTTAACCCTTGAGGGTTACACGCTGTTTTATAGTTGCCTTGCAACATGTATGATAATTAAACATGAGAGAGTGCAAAAAAAAAAAAAAAAACATGAAATTGGTCTTTAAAGCCTAAAACAGGCATAGTTGAGATTCACTCCTCAGCCTGTTGTTTCTAAAGCCTGGACGATTTACACAGGTGCCCTATTTTCATTTTTCCTGTCATCTCCATACCTCAGCATCACCTGCACAGCTCTGAACGCAGTGGTGCGGAAACAGGCCACATGCTAGTGGAGATGAGATGATACTCTTTCTGTTCTCAACCCACACGTGTGCAGACAACGATAGGGCCGGCAACAGGACGTCCCACCCGTCTTCCCAGCTTGACACCCCGTCTCCTCAGGTGGATGGGTGCACACGCCTCCAATGACTCCCCTTCGGGGGGCACTGCTCATTCCAGTAGCGAGCCGCAGCGGCACGGGAGACTGCAGATTACACTACGGCTCCAAGAAACCTCTAAAAATAACTGCTTGTGTGTTATAGCATGGCTTAAAATGCTTCCTACTTGGCTACAATAAAACACAGCACTGTGTGCTGGAACACACACTGGAAGGGCTCACGCATTAGTCTGTTTATTGCTAGTATTACTAATAGTATACACTATCATTCATAAGTTTGGGAGCAGTAAGATTTTTTTTTTTTTTTTAATTGAAATTAATATTTTTATTTTGCAAGGACACATTAAAATGATCAAAAGTGACAGTAAAGACATTTACGATACTAAAAAATTACATTTCAAATAAATGCTGTTCTTTTCGCCAAAGATTCCTGAAAAACATGTATCACAGTATCCTCAAAAATATTAAGCACCACAACTGTTTTTATAAAAAATAAATATTTCCTGAGCAACAAATCAACATATTCGAAGGATGTTTGAAAGGATCGTGTGACACTGAAGACTGGAGTCTGGGCTGCTAAAAATTCATCTTTGCCATCATGTGAAATGAATAACATTTAAAAATATATTAAAATAGAAAACGGCTATTAAATTGTAACAATATTTCAGTTTTATTGTTTTTGCTGTATTTTGATTAAATAAATGCAGCATTGATTAGCATAATTAAACAAGTCTTACCAACCCCAAACTTATGAATGGTAGTGTATGTAACAAACAGATCAAAGGATGAAAGCAAATCTGATTCTACATTGCCATACTTTTTTGAAATTTTGCTATTGTTTAATTGACAGGAAGCGATTCAAACCTGAATGGTGCAGACAAGTACCAGAGCGTAATGTGACCGGAGCATATTCGCTCCTTTTTGGCACTGTTCAACTGACATGAAATGATTGAAACGGAATCGAGACATGTCCTAAACCAGATTCAAACCTGAATCTCTCAAATAAGCACCGGAGCTCAATGTACCCAGAGCACATGTGCTCCTTTATGCCACTGTTTAATTGACAAGAACTTATTTTTAACAGTATCTGGACATGTCTAAGTCCAGATTTAAACCTAAAACTCCCACATAACTACAGAAACTGGAGTACGTGTTAACCCCTAAGCCACAACTCCTAACACATCGCAACAATTCCAGTAAAACACACACACTTCTTATTTTTTAGAAAATCCTAAAAAAAGAAAAAAAAATCTCCTTTGTGGATTAAGTTGTGGTGGGTGTTCAATAACAGTTATTTATTAAAAAAATAAAATAAAATGGATAAAAAAATCATTGATTCACAACACTTTATGGCTGCACCCTAACAGGGCAGGGCCAAATGAGCACGGTCTGTTTTCCGTCTTGTGAAAAGTTGCTATTAAGGAGCAGAGCGTTTTCTTCAAAGAGGGATTACACAGATGCGTTCTCTAACCTCAGGTTACTAAAAGGGCCACAGAGTTGAAATCTTGTAAACAGTGGTATGAAGTCTTACCAGGAAGGCTGTAATACTCCTTCGCGTGTTCTCCCAGTGGAAGCAGCTTTTAATATACTGCAGCGTATAGAGAATGGCCATGCTGATCTTCCTCACTCGATAGATATTACATGCTAAAAGCTAATGGGGACAAAGCAGTAGTTAGCAAGATGTGCCTGAGGACGTAATGCTCACAACATGACATTCACTCAGGTGTAAAGAGGCTTTTAAACTGAAGGTTCATTGGTGATAAATATTAATAAGTCAAGTCATCTTTGGTGTCTAAAGAGCTTCAGGCGGTGCTGGAGGAAAAAAATGAACATAATGAGTCTCTAAAGGTGCCAACAACAAACCTAATATTAAGAGAAAGTAGAAAATATGGTGCCAAATTATGCTGTAATCGTTGTCGATAAAGCTCACCTTTTTGTTAAACTTTGGGTTGTCCTCTGCAAACTTTGTTTCCTTCGGCTGGAAGGTTTTCAAACCTGCTCTGATCTAAAAAAAAAAAAAAAACTTCTTTTTACTTTACTTCTTTTCAGTAAAGGCTATCTGGTATCATCCATATTATTCATAAATAGTCATATTTATTTAATATGATGCACTTACAGGATTGTAGAGGACATTCAACTCCAATGTGATGCTTCCTTTGGTCGTCCTTGATAGATTATTATTCTTCAGCATTCTGGTTATTTGTTGGCCATTAGAAACCTAAAGGCAAAGTAGTGGTACTGTATGTTAATATTGGCACGATTAAAAATGTACAACAATGAATATAAAAATTATTCTGTGTGGTATTTACAGTCAACAAAGGAATGGCAACTTTTCCCAGGAAGTCTGGAGCTTTGTCCCCATCATCATGATAGACTGTGAGCACCAGAACATCATGGATGTCCTTAATGGGACTTAGGACATGCCAAAATCAATGTTATATCATTACCATGAACATGCATATTAATACAACAAGATATCTACAACATCGGTATAACTTACAATGTTAGGGCTGTTCTCCATTCAGGATTCAGGGTTTTGGATATTGTGTGAGTTTGCAGTTTGCTATTACCAAGCTCAAGAGTACAAAAAGGGTCACTTTTACCTGATGAAGATAAGATATTCTAACGTTATTATGATTGAATAAATCTTTATAATAGGATATACTGTACTTAATATCTGACTGACTGTACAATATCCCCTACATACATTATGGTATTATATTTAATACAGATATGTACCACTTATATCTGTTGATGGAAGATCTGTGGCTTTTATTAACTTGATTTGAAGATAGCCAACATCGTTTAAGTCCCACAGACAGTTCATCAGTCTCTGTAAAAAAAAACAAAAAAACTTTTATCTTTAAAAAATAAATATAATCATATAAATGTACAAATATTTATAAGCTATAGAAATTACAAATAATTTACATGATTGAGTTGAAAGGTAACCAAAAAAAAAAAAGGAAATCTAAAATAGCACAATGTAATACTCACATATTTCTCCTGCGTCTCCTGAAGGGTTGTGAGGTTATCTAATGGAGCTGACTGGATGTCTGAGATGGATGCACCAGAACATGGAGTCATTGTGACCAAAAACACCAGTTTGCCCTTGTTTGGGTCCAGCACACAAGTATATAACTGCCTCTGATTGACAGGAAGTCTGGTCAGGTCAATATCTAGCCTGTGAAGAGTCATCAGTGAACAGACGTGTAGTGGGACTGTTAGCTGTGTTGCTGATAGTAAAAGTGAATTACTATTACAAAATACCATTACAAAAAAAAAGAAAAGAAAAAAAAGAAATAAATTGAAATGCCGACGTCTTACGTCATCCGCCCGGAGCTGCTTCCATGTACAACAGTGAGCGCAAGCTAGATTAAATTGATTATTACGTTTTAAATATGGTTATTTTTCTTACAAAAACGCATCGATTCGCTACAGGAGGCCTTTGTTCACCCCCCGCAGCCGTGTGAGGCACTTTTTATTATGGATGAATG